CTATTGAATCGGAGACACAACATCACAATATTATATGCCAATTTATTTTTATAAAAATGTTTATTGGGAAAAAAAAGAAATTGGTATGTGCATACAACGTAAATATTTTTTGAGTGAGTGGTAAAACCGATTTAGAGTGTGCAAACTCTCTGTAATTTTAAAATATGGTAAATATTTTGCGTAAGGCGAGAATTCGTGGACACAAAAATGTGAAATTTCCATGTTAAATGCTATAATTTAAATATTTTTGTGTGAGTGGCAAATATTTGGACAACGAGTGTGAAATCACATCGTGATTTTTGTTGCTGTAAAATCAGTGTGTTCGAGAGGAACATCCTCGCTTGAACGTTGTGAACTTACCGCGGTGAAAAAAAAAACGTACTGTGAACATACAAATGTATACTACTGACGGTCGGTTAGGAACACGTGGGTGTGCGTCAAGGTGTTTGCGCACTACGAACTCCGGTGGTCACCCATCCGAGAACTAGTGGCAGCGGCCGTTGCTTACTCTCAATCACGTCGTGTGATTGATTTCAGCCACTGCCCCATGCCATGCCATCAACTCAGGTAACATTAGTTAAATACTCTAACCTCAGGTAACCCCTCCCCCTACCATTCACAACACAATACGCGAGTCGTTGCCGACAACCGAAATAATCGTAGGATCGGTAATGGCGCAAACATATATTATATGCTATCATCCAATCCATCGTGAAAAATTATAGCAAAAATTACAATAAAAAAAGCCATAACGTATTACCTGAATAAATAACCACGAACAAATGAGAGGAAGTTTGCTAAATTGACCATTGAACCGAAAATGGTAAGCGTAGAACGAAAAGTGGTAAAGATAGAAAAACCTGGAACAGAAACATATTTGATTTAAAAATACAAATACAGAAGGAGTAAAACCTCCTTATAATGGAATCGCTCGGTACCAACTGACTTTTCCGTTATAAAGGAGTTTCCGTTTTGGAGAGACTAAAATACATGGGAAACCTATAGGTTATTCGGGACTATTGTTATTGTCCGTTATGAAGAGGTTTTACTGTATACAATATACCTTTGTAGGTACACACAACAGTAGTATACATATTACAATATACATAATTATATATACAGGGTATATCACTGTATTAGCTCTATCCACCACCACCCTAAATTTTAAAAAGTCAATGAAATCCCCGTATAGTGTCGCGTTCGCATTCCACGTTATAAATGGAAACTTTTTCTTCGTTCCTCCTTTTTTTTCTATAGCTCTTGTTTCTTGTTACTCTATTCTCTAGGGTAAAAACCCCCACCCCTGTGTCTGCAGTACCATCCACCAATCTGTCGCCCCCTAACTAGGAACCCCCGCAATAGGGTATATTATATTATACGACGACAATATAAAAAAGCTTTTATATTATATAGGTACTCACTTTTGCCAATGCTTTTGGGCGATCGGACTATTACAAAAATACATGACGTATTGATCAGCTAAGCAAACGATCAATATGACGTAAAATGCCGTGGTTATGTCGTTGAACATTTCTGACATTATGACCTTCAAGCCTGTCAGGAATTCAAATAATAATATTTATTATAATAACAGTAAATAAATAAACAGAACGTATATCGTCATCGGAAATCAAAATCAATTTTATACGTCACGACATAACGACAATGTATTCGTTATCCCAATTATCCACGTTATTATCATTGCCGCACACACACTGCAGGACACGGGCACAATGTTATCTTGTCGACGAAGTCCTTAATTGTTAATGCATAAAATTATATTTTTGGGGGTCAGTGAACTCCGATGACGTGTACGCCGTTTGACAGGGTTTCAAATGTTTTAATAATAATAATAATAATAGTAATAATATTTGGGTGCGATGAAAAATCGCAATGATGGACTATGATTTATGACTATCATTATTAACGTAATTTATTTTACCGGGCAGAACAATACAGAAGATGAAACATGGCAACACCAGGGAAGAGACCGAGAGGCGTAAATTTAGTTGCGACAAGCCCACTGCACAAAATAAAAAGCAATATATAAACAAAATGTAAAGAATTTTTTAAAAATGATTATTATTTATATATTTATTTAACAAAATATTAATAATATAGATTACCTATGAAAACAATTATCTGTTGTTGTAAATACCTCATGGACGTTGAAATCAATACAGTCTGAAAGCAAAAAAAATAAAATATTTAATTTCAATACAATATACGGTGTGTTCACGGAGACAGAGAACACTTTATGACTCATTATCCTGTAAATATTTTTCAATTCTGTTTATGGGACATTCAACTTGATTGTTTGTTTAATAACGAATGTTTACTAATAGGTCTTTTTCAAAAGTTCATGTTTTTATAATAATTTGCATCATGGTCGTAAAACGGAAACAATAAATACAATTAAACAAAATTTAATTTCATAATTTAATAAAAAAATTATACCTGGTTCTAATACATTTTTGTAAAATAAATTTCTAATAAATTTTGAAATATTATCACGACTATAAGTAGCTCAAAATGTGTCAAAATAGTTTAAAAATATTATCATGTATGGAAAATGGTAATTTTAACATATTTTGGTGGAAATTTCAAGTGTTTACAGTTATTAGTTTTTAAATTTCAACAAAATATCAAAAATTGATTTATGAAAATTTGCTAATTTACCGATAAAAATCCAAAATCGTAAATATTTTTCATTAATTTGATGACGAATTGAAAAATAAAATGAACGTGTGTATATAAATATTTGGTGAAATAGTTTCGCAAGCCACTATAGGGGTCTATTTACTTAAAAATTACAACAAATGTTCAGTAAATATTATGTTGTTTCACCGTTTACTTAAAAAAGTATATAATATTCCAAGGTAATTATGTACTTTTGAGTAACAACTAGATTAAACTTACTAGGTACATAACCCCCTTTCAGTCTTGTAAAGAATACTTTTATTTTGTATTCGGAATACATATTCGATTAATTGAGAATTATGCTATTCAGAATACGTATAAGAATAGTTCTTAAAAAATATATTCTAATACTATTACTATTAAGTAAATCCGGCGAATGAGTGCGATTTCTATTCTGATCATGCTGTTCCAATTGCGTCCGATGCGTAAGATGCGACGAAATACAAGCTGTTTTGTTTTTCGAGGCACTCGCCGGATTTACTTTGGACACGGCGTTAGAATTGGTACTTTTTTTCACAACTAGTTTTTGTCAGTTTTTGAATGGTTGGTAATTAACATTTATTAATTAATAAATAAAAATACATCGTAATCATAACTTATTTATACATTTTGACGGCATATGATACGGGCCCTACAGCCTACAGGATACAAATACAATACATTGATGTTTATAAAATGAATCATATCATGAGCCAATATTATATTTCGTTCTAACAATAAAATTAATGTTTATGATTATTATAATATGTCTTGTCACAAATTTAAAACTGTATTTCTAGATCAGAAAAAAACATTTTTTTAATGAATAAAAAATACAAATATAAGTATTCAGAATACCTATTTGAATACTTAAAAAAAAAACTATTTAAAGTAGTATTCTAATACAAAAAAATTATTCAAATGCTTTTATTCGAATACTCTACAAGACTGCCCCCTTTTTCTTGTTTCTATACTCCTCGCTGTATAACAATGTTGTTGACCACTGTACCAACTCGTGTTTAAAATAAGAGTTCTTTTATTTTGCTATTCATAATAAATAATTATCTTATACTCACAAACACGACCATTATGAAAAATGATAAAATATACGACGATCTAGACTTCGATATTCTATCAACTCTTTTATATTCCTCAGAAATTACATTTCTGAAATATTAAACAATAATTATTATCTACATGGCAGTTATAAGTTAAAACTATTTACAGTAAACCTCTTTGAGAGTAAGTCTTTACCTCAAAAATCCTTTGTTTCGTTCATTTTCAGCCAGTGATTGAACAGAGGACAACAGTAAGTTATCGTAACCAAGGAAATAATTCAAGAAAAACTGACTCACTGAATCGGCATAACACAGAGTAGGGTCTAGGGTTACTAGCATTACAGGAATGTTTGACCGATTTCTGACACTGGGTGACAAATGCAAGAACCCTTGTTCCAATGAATATTCAACAATGTAATCCGAGTTAAGTATTACTAAAAAATAAAGGGTAAAAATAATTTATGTGTTTTCATTGACAAATCCCATATCGCAGCTCATATAATATAAATACCTTCATGGTCGTAACTTAAATAAATAATTTATTTATCTATACTAAAAAAAAAAATGAATTTAAAAACAATTTCATCACAAAGCTAAATTAACTTCATTGTTCAGTCCGTCATACAAATTGTTTATAAAATTAATATAATTTAATCAAAAAAAATAATAGGAAATGTTCTATACTTATAACCAATAACACAACAATTTGTACACATAGAAATTTAATATGTTCATACATATCACGAAAAAAATATACACAATACTATATGGCATTTATAATAGTAATAATAATTATGAACATTAAATTATTATATAATTATTTATATACATGAATATATGTATGAAAGGACCTATTGACGTTTTGGAATGTAAATTGGGGTTGCTATTTCGGATAATAACCGTATGACGAAGGTATGAAAAATCGAGGTTCTAATATAAATAATTTATAGTATATAATATATTAATATACAATATATATATATTATATAAGTATAAATATATGATAGTATATAGATAATTTATTGCCATGTAAATAGAGATCAATATTGTTTGACAATTTTTGGCAAAGTTAATTTAAATTTACCAACAAATCAAATGTAATAATAATATGATTTTAATGATAAAATAAAGTATAAAGAAATCAGATGTAAATTTATTTATTTGATTTTTCTGCTAACAATTGTTTAGCCATAAACTTTTAAAAACATTTTACCACTTTATGGCACCGACAAAAATATGTACTATTTAATTCTTATTTTACGTTTACTTAGAATAAATTTTACCTTCAAAGTATGTGTAATCTGTAAATGATAAGTAGTTGAATAACTTAGTGTTAGTTTCTCCAGATTTATTTTCAACTAACTTTTCTGTTGATTGTTCAATATCAATATCTCCTTTTTTCCTAAAAAAAGAATATTTTGTCATAAGACAATTAAAAATATGTTTTATACTATACTTAACATTAATATTAATCAATAAATGTACCAATATACATATTATATAATCTAATTATCACTTATAATATTATCCAATATTTAAAATATATTAATTTAAGTCCAATTTACTTTATTTGTTTTTGTGCTTAAAACTTAAAAATCTAATAATTAAATTATTGTTATAAATTTAATAATATTGAATTAAGATAAAACAAAAAATAATAATTATTTAATAATTGTAGTTTTTATATTATGTGTTTCCATTATGTCGAAAGACACATTTAACAAAAAACGGATAAATCTAATATTATGTCATTTATGAGATAAATAAATTTATAGCTGAAATATGATTTTACAAAAATAACAGAAGTTAAACTTTTTTAAATACAAATTATAGGTTTTACCTAACATCTTTTTTATTAATGAAAAATAATATCTTATGTAGAAATATTTTCAAACATTGATAGAAAAATATTGTATTTTTTTTTTTAATTAGTGGGCATATTTTCAGAAGATTAACAGATTAAGTAGGTATTGAATAAATTAATTGCATTTTAAGAACAATAAAACAAATTAATTTTATAGTTTAAAATAATTGTGTACTTACTCGGGACTATTAGTTTTAGTGAAGCGGTTGAATAATTTTGCATTTTCTTCACCCATATGTTTTAACTTGTATTCACGTTCATAAGATTTTCCTAACAATTCGTTCATCGTGCCTGTTTGTTCTGCATGGCTGTGTTGAAAATTTCGAATAATTTCCACTCTGAGTATACCGTCTCTAGGCCATACGTCTTTAACATGGCCTAAACAGTTGGCTTGCATTCGTGAAAAATTTATGTGTAGATACACGAGTACAACAAATGATAAGACAGCCTAAAATCAAGGAACACAAATTGTAGACATCATCATTTAATATAAAGTAAAAGTTTACCTGTAATAAAAGTACAAATTCTATAACCTTCCTCAGAGATTTTGGGAATTTTCTTGAGTACTCCAATATGGCATTGAACACCATAATGCAAAATATGGTTTCGAATAAACCGCCCCCCTGGTTGTTGTTATTACTATCTGTAGTCATTTCCGAGGCGGTTGGTGGCAAATCCGCCACATCTATATTATCGTGACCGTTCGTTGGCATGGTTAAGTCGCTGTAAAACTGTTATGGAATATCTATAGGTCTCCTCGAGACGAGGATTGCGGCGAACGAGTGAATAACTATGGATGACTTGACTACGGTCTGCGGTCAAGGTGTTTTTTGTAGGTATACAATAATTTTATATTCTATAATTCAAATTTAACACCATCTATTACAATGACAAACTTGTAAACAGCTACTGCCTACTGAACAGCAGAGTGACACCCACTTAAACAATTTTTTTTCTTGTATTTGTAGGTGTGTTATTGGGTAAGCGGGTGGGTAGTTAAATTCAAAATTGTATACACCTTTATTTTGTTTGATAGCCGCCACTGAGAAGTGTAGTGCTGCCATATTTTTATGCACTTGTTGAATGTAAATTAACGTATTCCTATTCTTTTGACAAATTTATTTTTGGGCAATCATTAGCTTGTGCATTTAATTTATTTTAAAAGTTCCATACTATTTTGTTAAATTGTTCAGTTCTGTATGGTTTTAATTTATTTTTATTTTTATATCAATACAAACATACCTACCATACTAACTATTTAAATAACAAACAATCATACGTTACTAAAAAATGGTGTAATCAATAACCAAAAGCATACATTTACCTTAAATGTAATTTTTTTGTCATTAAAAATCTGAGATTTATATTTTCCACGGTTTATTTTCTTTTTTTAAGCAAAATGTATTTTAACTAAAATTAAAAATATTTATGTTCCTATGATTTCAACATTTATTTGAAATAATGCTTATTTGTTCTATTGGTGTAGCTTATAAAAAAACAAATAGTTTACTTGTTATGCCGACAAAGTTATATAGTAATGGCTAATGGATCACAATCTACTTGAAGTGTTTTTTTGTGTCATCTGCAGCAAATAACATTAAAACTAATAATACAACTATTTTGATAATTTATTATTTACATAATAATGTCTTTTAATTCCAGATCAAAGGAATTCATTGTAAACAACGAAGAATCTAGTTCTAATGCAGAAGAGAATACATCAAAATTCTATTCTGTAGATCGAATATTAAAATGTCGATTCAGAAATAATAAGATAGAATACTTACTTAAGTGGACTGGCTACTCTCGAAGATACAATTCTTGGGAACCCATAGACTATCTTAATTGTGACAAATTAATTAAAGATTTCAAAGATTCTGAAGCAAAAAAGAAAATAGAAGAATAATATTCTGATATTCTTTGGAACATTTATTATTAAATAAATGTTTTAAAAAAAATAATTTAGAATACTTTCTTAAGTTTAATGGCTACATCCATCATATTTTGAGCAAAATTAAAAATTAAATTGTATTATAATAAAAAGAAAAATGTTTTATAAATAAAGAAATCACAATACAGATAATATAACAAGAGTCTTTATTTTTGTTTAGGACATAATGCATCTTTGAATATGTTAAAAGTAAGAACATAGGACGAACAAACAAGAATTAAAAAAAAATTTAAATTCAAAACCGTAACTATGCATTCAAATTATGGGCAATTTGACTACGGTCGTAAACACAAAATGTATTTTACTAGAGAATTCATGTTCAAATACATATTAATACATTCAAGTATAGGTAATTAGTTTTTGTCAAGAAAAAATAATATAATAAGGTGTCTATATTCTAATCTAGTTATATGTGAGTATGAGATGTATAATAAGGTATTATTTAATGACACATTGTTATGAAAATTGCCAATCAAAATTATTTATTATTATTAGGTGTATCATAAGTCTTGTAAGGAAACATTATTATCAAGTAAAAAATCTGACGATTGTGCTTCATTCGACGTTGACAATAGGTACCTTAATCCACACGAGAAAATATGATGGTTGTAATTTATTGTACTCTCTTGCAAAAACACTTAACAAAGAATATAACTGCATTATTCATTTCATTGATTGAAGAATTTATTACTTTTTAAAAAAAAAGATAAAAAAAAATTAATCAATACCTACTATTTGTTAGAAGATATACATTATTATATCTGTGAAAACTGTGGAGATACATTTGTTGAGAAGTATTTAAGTGTCAATATCAAATATAGTTTTATAAAGAAGTACAATATTTAAAAATGCTTAACATATTTAAATAATTAAAAGTTATAAAAAAATTACACATAATGTCTTATATGTTATATTCCTACCTAATACTGTGTTAAGGCTTAATTTATTTTGTAAGCAATTGTCTTACAAATATTGAAATGTGTAAATAAAAATATGTACTTACGCATGTCTTATACTTTTCTTATCTATACTAATATTATAAAGAGGAAAGATTTGATTGTTTGTATTGAATAGGCTCCGAAACTACTGGACATATTTTAAAAATTGTTTTACCATTAGAAGCCGACATTATCATTGATGAATATAGGCTAATTTAAAAAGTGAATTGATCACCCAGGGGAGGTGCTCAAACTGGAATTTTGAGATTTACGATAGGTAGAAATTTGTGTTTAAAAATAGTTGCCATGGGTTTTAAAGCTATTATAATAATAAATAATAATTATTGGTTGTTGTTTATTGAAAATGGTGGCTATTGCCTATTGATCATAGGAGAAATATGATATGTATAAATATTATAAAATATAATATGTCCGTAATGTATCATTGTTCGGGGTGGCTGAATTGCACTTACTGTTGCGAGTTACATCCAAAAAGATTTAAACAATCACAAATTTTTAAGGGCAACGAAGTGCACGGGATCAGCTAGTTTATTATATAATGTTTTATTAAAAAAGAATAATATTTATAAAAATTACAATATTTAGAATCAATTATAGAAACAATACTTGTACCTACCTACTTTTAGATGAAAATATATTGTTAAGTCTTAGCAATGTGAAGTAGTTCCGTCCCAGGTCATCGGTTCAAACAGTTGAAGAAAATATGAAGTATGGAAACTAATGCAGTAATAAGTAATAACTAATAGGCATAAAGAATTTTTTTCAAATATTATATTGTTTAATATTCATTTTTAAGGGGTAAATTATTAACTGCAACCAAAACTGTAATCAAAACTGTAATCTCGAGGGGAAGTGATAAGAACGTATCGCGCGTATCGTCGTCGCATAAAGCATTTTGATAACATTTTGATAAAACCATGAACATTAGAATATAGGTACGTACACTAGCAAGCTGACATTTTAAATTTTTATAGTCGCCCGTTCTTTAAGAAATATTGTACATTTAGCTAAAGTTGCTAAAAAATAAAAACAACGTTTCAAACTGGGAAACCGATAAACATGGAGTGAGCTTCGGCAGGCTCTGAAGTGGATGCTCGTCCGCACCAAAACCAAACATCAATAATCTTTTAGTGTGTTCATTTTTTAGGTGTCAAAGAAAGGTATTAGGAAGTTTTTGGAATAACATGCAAGTATGCAACCTTCAAACGCTGGCAAGGAAAACTTATTGGGTGTTGGCGGGACTCCTCGGTAGGTACATGACGTGAGTGTTTTGGCCGACGACTGTTGCGTTGCACATAATTGTGTTTAAACTGTGCTCATATATTTTTGTATAGCTGTAGGATGGACGGAGAAACTTCAAAACCTAAACGGACGTTAAAATATTCTTGACATTGAATTTACTTATACATATGATTAATTAATATTAACCTATATAATCAATCCGTTATAGTTCTATTATAATCTATTTTTCATTTGTTTTTATAGTACTATATATGATACCTAGTTTACTCAATTGACATTTATAATCAAGAAATTAACTATTTAAAATTAAATCAGCACTCACAAACACTAGTATTTAAATACCTACACTACAACTATGCCTACAACTAAAAATCATAATATTTTCCTTGGTTGGTACCTCATTATTTTGTTTAGTGTTTCATAGTAAAAATATTGAAGATTTTATAGACTATAGACTATAGCCATTAATTAATTAAACATTATACCAATGAATACAATTTCTAAATTAATTTTTTTCAAAAACATTATTTGAAAAATAACAATATGTTATTATATTATTGATACTCATTATTAGGTACAATTAGGACACTAGGTAAACAATTTGTGTACATCATTGTGAATTTCCAAAGGAGTTAAGAGTATTGGTTGGTATACTGGACTTCAAATATTTCTCTGTACCACCAAAAAATTAGGCCAATTTACACCACTGATTATAGACACTTCTTTATATTTTCTTTTTTAACAAAAATTAATTATAAATCAATGTATAAATATGTATTTTAACTTGTATTCTCTAGTAAAATACATTTTGTGTTTACAACCCTAGTCAAATTTCCTATAATTTAAACGCACAGTTATGGTTTTGAAATTTAATTTTTTTTAATTCCTGTTTATTTTTTACTCATAAAGTAATCCTTAGTTACCAATTTTCTTACTTTTTAACATGTTCAAAGTTGGATTATTTGCTAAACCAAAATTGCAATTTTTGTCATATCTATATTATGTTTCTTTATTTACCAAAGTAATATCTCTTTTAGAACATTTTTTTTTTTTCATTGTAATTCAATTTAATTTTAATTATGCTCGAAATATCTCTTTTTTTTTTGTTAGATATATAAATTGTATTAGATTTGTGCCAATTAAGTATAGAATTAATATGCAGTTTATTTTCAATGGATTTTTCTAAGTTACTTTCTTACTAGTACCTACTAATTTACATAACCTAAATTTGAATTATTTCACAAGATACTAACAAATAATAGTTTAACAATACATATTGTAATAATAACTACCAAATATAATTATCTATATATTCTATAATATTACATGAATTTTTAAATTAAAAAATAATATTACAACGAAGAAACGATCTGTAGTTTTTCAATAATATTGTTTTACTTTCAATCACCCACTTAGTAATTGTAAATCTAATCCGTCTTGACTCGTGTGGTTCAAACTAACTGGGTTAAAAATATTTTACCCTATCATAATTCAAATTTATACTGATAATATAATGTTTGTTGTGTACTGTAAATTTTTCATTAGTACCATATAACAATATTGTTCTATATTATAATAACAGATGACAATAAGATGAGCATAAATTTGTGAACGAAATCACCACGTGATTTATGCTGACAATTGTATACACATGCAGTTGATTGGGGTACAGTGAGCCAGTACCAGTTGTCCAATCTCTGAATAGGTACCTACCTAAATGAATAATCAATCGATGACAAGTCAGTGTAGGATATTTTTTGCCATAATTGTCAGTTATACAACAGATATTGACAAAATTTTATCCTTTAATAAAATTTGAGTTTTGTAAACAATTTTCCTATCCAATATTTTGAGAGGTGAATAGTATGCTTATGTGTCGCTTGCCCCGGTAACCATTTTTTAAAGCTCTATCAAACAATCCATGTTGGCACCATGAATTTGTAATATACTCCGTTTGCGTTAAGAAGGTACCTCAGCGGCCGATTTTTGCACAGAAGAGAGGCTTTACCACATAAATGATTGTCTTGGTAGGAGTGAAAACAGGTGTTGTTCGATTAAAACTGGTCGCCACCGAGGTTCCTTAACGTGATTAAAGTATAGATTCTATACTATAACGAGTACAAAGGTTTTTTTAATATTGTCCATTTAATGAACTTTCAAAAGACAAATTTAAGGGCTAATAATGAAATAAATAATTCTGTATCTTTTTTTTTAGATACAGCAGTCTCAAAACCTCAAATATTTACCTTGCCCCATGATGTGTTTTTAAGTTGTATTTGCAGAGGTTTAAACTTGAAAAATACATAAGCCAAATGTATTTTTTCCCCTCAAGATTCAACTGTAATCTGTATAATTAGTAAACATTTTATTGGTGGCTACATTATAACCAGGGCTAGTGAGTTCATGCTCTAAAAAATGCCTAAATAAGTATGCACTTATGCACTAAAAGATGGAAAAATATGCATTGAAATATGCCTTTAAAAGTTCAAAAATATGCATTTATATGCACGAAAAATCTAAAAATATGTATCAAAAATGTGTAGATTAAAAAATAAAAATACTATAAGTAAATTTTGGAATAACAAAAAATGTCCATTCATATTATTAAAAGTTTATTAAAAGTTCAATTAAAAAAATATCCAGTCAGTCCAGTCCAGACAGCTCACTTTAAATCTGAAAATTTTAAATCCAAAGACTATTTCATATAACATGTTTTCTACTAATTGCTTAATGCGGGCTACGTACCTATACGTTTGTAGGTACTTGCTTTTCTGCTCTATACGTTTTATTTTTAATAATTTGATGTTGCGAAAACTTTCATACTGTGTAAAAATATAAATTATTGCATTTTGATCAAATTTCGGTAAAAATATGCACAGTAAAATAGAAAAACTCATAAATATGCCAAATAGTTAAAAAAAAAACCTCTAAATATGCAAAAATATGCATCATAAAATTTCACATACTTAACCATACAGTACCTTGAAATGGATTTCTATGTCACCTAGCATTAAATACGACTTAGCAAGATTGATATGCAAACGTCTGAACTCACTAGCCCTGATTATAACCATCACTTAAACATACTTATTTTAATGTATATAGAATTCACTTAGATAAAATAAAAAAAACTTCCATTAACATAGATACTTAGCCATACTAAAATAAAATTGAATATTTTATACTAGAATTCTTGAAATATATTATTGATTCTAACTTATTTTTAAAAGTTATAGTAAAAGATAGAATAATATGGTGAAAAATACTTTAATGTTTAAAATAAAACAAGTTGAGAATGTTTAAACAAACCATTTGAACAAAAAATAACCTTAAATTAACATATAATTTTTGATTTTAAGATAAAATGATTCACTATTACATTATAATTTAAACAAAAAAAAAAATAATGAAAAATTCAAAATTAATAAGTTAATTAACATAAATTGACATAATATATTAAACATAAACCGGTAGTAATAATATGTAATACAGCGGTTCCCAACCTTTTATAAGCGTGACCCCAATATTTTAAATTTAACTTTTGGCGACCCCCAAAAAAAAAAAAAATTTATAATTTATTGTAAACTCAACATTATTTTATTTATTATCATCAAATTGGTAAATATGATATATTATAAAATTTAATCAATTTTAAATATAAAAAAAATTACATTTTATGAAATGATATTTAGTTAGGTACTAATATTTAAGTATTTTATAATTGATAAACTGTTATATTTATTTGTAAGGCATAACTACCACATATAATCAAAAAATAAAATAATTGAAAACAGGTACCATAGGGTTTGATATAAAATAAATGTTATTTTTTTGAACACATGTTGTTCTTCTTCGTATTGTAATAGTTAAACACCATTTCCCCATGAAAGTCTACTTTCATAAAACTTTATAACGACTTGTGGGCACAATAAATTAGCCTCTTGAGCCGATATCAATTCAGTTTCTTCAAGTCCTTTCCATTTCATCAAAAATATCAAGTGGCCACTTCTATCAGTTGCACCTAAAATTCGATCTGGAATCTTCTCTAACACATTTGAAACATCGCAAACTTTGACTTTTTTAATGTCTTTCTTTTCCGGTTTTACCACTGCACTAACAGAATGAGCGTCCGATGAAGCACATGAAGTTGTTGAATTTGAACGTGTCTTCACGCCACTGCCAACACGCTGAAGTTTTGCCCTTTTTTTTCTTTCTTTCTTCTCCTTAATAAGATTTTCTTCAAACAGTTTTATTAAACTCGGGCAATTCAGATCATCTTCAGATACCCAACAATTTTCTCTGTTACTGTAGCCTCTCCACTTAAGGAAGTATTCTACCTTATTATTATTTAAACGCTTATCTAGAATTAACTCTACGTCATATTCTTTATCCTCTTCTGCAGCAGTACCACTAGGTTCTATGTTCTTAACGATTTGTTTCTTTCTGGAACAAAAATACATTAATATGTTAATAAAAATATAACAAAATAGATGTATTATTTATTTTAAATAACTCGGCTACAGATTACACCAAAAAAACATCAAGTAAATTGTTATTTATAGGAGATTACTTTATAAGTTTGTCAGCATAACAACTAAACTGTTTGTTTTTTATAAGCTTCACCAATAGAACCAATAAGCTTTATTTCAAATAAACGCTGAAATTATAGGTACATAAATATTTTAATTTTTAATTTAAGAGGATACAGACATGTGTTGTGTCCGTCCTATAAGTTTGTAACACAACAAATTTTACGCTCAGCAGATCACAGTTAGCTCCGTAAGTTTAAAAATTAGAGTGAATTGACCTCGCATACAATTCTAAGGTAACATTATTATCAAGGACATCTCATAGGTTTTTATTATATTTTGATTTTAAAGCGAGTTAAGAGTATTTTAAGATCTACAAAGAATTTAAAATTTTAAAATACCTAAACATCGCTAATAAATTAAAATATAAACCTAGTACAAAAAACCTAGGAGATAACATAGGTTATAATCTTACCTTTAAATTTTATAAGAGGTCAATTCATTCCAATTTTTAAACTAACGGGGCTAAACTTGATCTGTTAAATGAAAATTTGCGCACTTGTAAGATGGAGACAACAAATGTCTGTGTAGTGTCCAATTAAGTACATTTGGTTTTTTTTAGAAAATAAAAACAAAAGAGAACAATTAGGTACCTATACTCAGGAGCGGATTGGGGAAACATTTTGGTGCGGAAAAATACTGTAAATAGATCGCCGCACGGCTTTTGTTAACTTCTTGATGGTTAGGAACATTTATTATATTAACGGATTTGTCATTGAATCGAACAAACTATGTTTTGAATCGTAATCATCTACTACCTACATACTAATAATTGGTTTATAAAATATATTATACATTGTTAATTTATAAATAATATAGTTAAACAATATCCATAACGTAAACAAGTTTCTATAATACAGTGCTATAATGATTAATTTCTTCTAACTATTACTTTGTAAATATGTACCTAATAATAGTTAATAAGCAAACAAATTATATTAGCACTCATTGTAATTGACTGCAAGAAGTTGAATAAACAGTTTCAGAAGAATCATTCAAATAACTATACCTATTTGCATGATTTATCATAGTAAACTTTGTTCTTTACACTTGGTATATGGGAAAAACGAAAGTGTAATATCATACCTATCATTGTATCATTAAATAGTATATACCTAATGAATATTCAATACCTTCCACAGTTTTAGGATTGGTCATTAATGGTTTCAATATAGGAACTTAATTTAATTTAAGTTTTACTCAACAAAAAGGTAATATATTTATAAGTGTGCTTTAATTTTATTGGTAGAGTACTAGGGTAGTCATACAACATATTATAAGACTTATTCAAATTCTTGTTTGTTAGAACAATTATAAATTTGGGTGCATCGTAGTAATATTTTGAATTTTTATTTATTCACTATTCAAAATTGAGTATTGACATCACACTCTAAACACCAAAAACACATTAACTAGGTAGATATGATAATCACATAGAACATTTATTTATTAAAATACTATTAAAAACAATATTTTAATTGATTAATATATTTTGTAATGGTACATTATATTAAATACGACTAATTGAGCACAAGATAGGTCTTTTTTTTTATTTTCTATATCATTATTAAAAGTTGTATTTAAGTGATTAAATACTTATAAAAAAAAAATTAAAAACAGCTTTTTGTGTAGAGGGCAATCCATCAGGAAAACTCCCGAATTCCTGTTGGGCCAATCCGCTGTATAATACACTCCAGAAAAAAATATAAACCGCAGCAAATATGTTCAATTAATGATATTAAAAAATAACATTTAAAGTAAAATGTTGCTTTGATAATTGATTACACCATTTTAGTTACATATGATTGTTTGTTATTTGAATAGTTATTATACATGTACCTAGGTTTGTATTGAAATAAAAATAAAAATGAAATAAACCCTTAAAATTAAAATTAAACAGAACTTGTAGAACAAAATAAATAACGAAAATAAGTATGTCAAAAAGATAGGAATCTGATAATTTCCATTCAACAAAGATCCCAGACACAATAATAATATTATCGAGATCATAAAAATATGGCAGCAACACACTACGAATGGGTAACACGAAGACGAATGTAGGGTATTAAACTAGCAACAGGCATATGGGAACCCATTTCTGAGTAATCCCCGTTTGAAAGACAAACAAAAGTAATAAATGTTTTCCAAAAAATATATTGCAGAGGGCCATGGCTCTACGGATTCATATAAGCAATCACAACGATTAGCTAGAGTATGTATAACGTTAAATTACAGGTTCCATCTTAGTATCTTACTCAATATATGAAATGTAAATCTAATATAAGCACTTATTAGAAATTATGAATAAAGAGATGTTTATATTTTACATCTCTACAAAAATTATTATAACTTTCAACGACCACATCCAAGACAAGACACCTGTAAAATGATCGAGCCGACATCGTGCATAGCAGGTCCAAATATTATTCAGATGTACCATAGCCGTTGAGACCTGTGCACCTTTGCGTCACTCGGCCACAGACACACACATAATACACGACTACCTATTTGTACACTTTTATGATTATTGATAATACACAATTTATTATTTCATTGATCGTTGAATCGACTTCAACCTTTGTTCAAAACAATCATATTATTATTATGGATCATCGACAGTCCGCACACAACAATATTGATAACGTATTTGTTTTGTATTTGTCATCGGCCCCAACGTACGCGTACCTATTCTCAAATATTGTCAATATTGTGCTTCGGTCTGCATGTGTAAGATACAAACGTTAAACCACAAACGGTTGAGGTTCGCGATCGGAAAATATCGTTTATCCACCGTAGGTACATTTCAAACGGTTTCAAACGTATAATTCCGTAACCGGCATAAAATATTTGGACGACGCCATGACGGAGGCGGCGGTGTCGGTGGTTGTTGATGCGGTGGAAGGGGTGGGGGTGGTCGGTGATGGCGGCGGCGTCGACGACGCCATTTTGAACGATGGCCGTATGGGTTACGTTTTTTAACGTTTTCATTAGATTTCGCACACGGCCGTGTCTGTCTCGACGGTACGGGAACAGCGAGCGCAAAAGATGAAACCGGCGGGTGAAAACCGAACGAACGGGAGGTGAACGGCCCCGTGCGCGTAAATATTAGTTGACACTTACCCTGAAGACGACATGACGAAGGAATGGAAACGAGTGTTGAGCTTCGGCGAATAACTTGACCGGTCGGCGGGATCAGCGAGTGCAGATGTGCGTGGCCGCTTGAACGACGGTGTGTGTGCTCCGGGTGCGATGCAACGTGGTTAGCCGTTTGGGACCGTTGAGGAGGTGTGTGGAGTGGACGGGCTTCAGACGACGACCCAGCGGTGAGAAGTGAAACGACTGACTGAACAAAGGGACGGCGACGCCCGAATGGAAGGAAATCGATCGACGGCGGACGTGGCGTCGGTTATGGACGCGCAGCGGTGGCGCCCCCACAAACTAAGGGCCGATTTCACCAACACAGTTAATCACGGTTAAGGTACGGTTTCGTTAACGCAGTTGACTGCAGCAGTCGACTGCAAGACTGGTCTGAGCACCAGTACTCTGCAGTCGACTGCACCGGTATTTTGTATGACTGCTGCAGTCAACTGCGGAAACGAAACCGTACCTTTAACGCTTAATCGGCTGATAATAGATATTTAACCACGAATGGATCTTCGCAGGAAAAAATTTTTTGTGTCCGTATATAATATTAGCCTACATTTAGCCCCTTTTTTGCAGTTATCAAAATGTGACAACATTGATAAACCGATAGCATAATTTTCATTATAAATTATAATATTATATTTTATTATATTAATTATAATTAAAATAGTTAAATACATTAATAGTTAATAAGTTATTAAAAAACACAATATCGTAATTTAAAATTTAAAAATACACAATTCATTGAGAATACAGTATAAATGTACAACATATTTAGGTGGAACATTATTTTAAATTTTCAATCTTTAGCTATAAAAGGTAAATTATATAATACAATTTTAAATTTGATAAATATTTTCAAAATTCGAACTAATACCCAGATAGCAATTGTGTAATGATATTATTATTATTACAGTACACAAATATTGTTATAAAAATAATGTTATTATAATAACATAACTATCCAACTAACATAATATTTTTATTTTTTACTTTATAAATTATAATTAAAATAAATAAATATATTAATAGTTAGTAAATGTAATAATACACAATTCAAAAAAAAACACAATATTCATTATTCACTTACGATCGTCATTTAAAAGATACAATTCAACATTATATTAAGAAATTCATTTTCTTTTAGAACTATAGGAATGATCGTCATATGAATGAACATTTAAAACTCTTGTATTATTCAGTAAGGATTTTCTTATTATATTACCTTCACTCGACGACAATTGATGAAATTCAAGTTTATTTTTTTTATTTTTAATAAAGAAACGTGGTTGTTTTTCAATATTCTTTTTATGTTGATTGTATTTATATCTTCTGTTTGCATAGGTTTTGATTCGTTTGTAAGTAATTCAATAATTTTATTGCAATGTTTTAAAATATGTTTTTTTGTGTACTGTAATAATAATAATATCATTACACAATTGCACAATTTTATTATATAATTTAACTTTTATAGCTAAAGATTGAAAATTTAAAATAATGTTCCACCTAAATATGTTGTACATTTATACTGTATTCTCAATGAATTATGTATTTTTAAATTTTAAATTACGATATTGTGTTTTTTAATAACTTATTAACTATTAATGTATTTAACTATTTTAATTATAATTAATATAATAAAATATAATATTATTTTAATTATAATTAATATAATAAAATATAATATTATATTTATAATGAAAATTATGTTATCGGTTTATCAATGT